CGTGATCAGGTGGCAAAAGAGTTGGAGGGCATTAGGTCTCGCCGGCGATTGACCACTGACTCTGTTGAGGAGAAGGATCGAGCTCTCAAGGATGTCAGGGAGACCATTCAAGACTTGATCTCGTGCACAGAGGAAGATCTTCGTCGAGAGGTCCTAAGGAGGCTTGAGCTTCGCCATGCTGAAGAAATCCGCGAGGCGGAACTTCGATTGAAAGCCTTGTAATTTTGCATCTTTTCGTCCTGTCCGATTACCAGTTGTACTAGGATCTCTTTCTATGAATGAAATTATCCTTTTGTTTTTGGTCCATTGTCACTTGTGTGTGTGCTCCATTTTTACAATCATGCATTAGTCAGAATTTGACCGTAAGAGAACCTCCTCTGTAGAGGAATTCTTGTCAGCGAGTTTCTGCTGCAAGATTATCTCATCTGTAGGTGAACTTTGTCCGCAGGCGGATTCGCAGATGTCTTGACGGCGAATCTGGTCCTGACTGGGTTCCGCTCTCAGTGGGCCACGTGTCAATCCATGTGTAAGCCGGTTAAGGAGACGTGGGCTAGCCATTTCACATTAAATGCGAAGTAGTGGGCCTCTTCGTCCCTCGCGCCCGATTCGGGCCGTTGTTGCAGATCGTGGTCACGAACCGTCAGATCTTGTCCGTCCAGGTAAGATCCGATCTGTTTGGCCTTACCCTTCAACTGCTTTAGTTTTGAACAGTCCAATCAAGTGTTAAGTAACCGTCCAGGACTCTTAGGGTATTTAACGTCCTTATCCTCTGTTAAGAGGATCTACAGGCTTTTCATCGTCTTCCCACAGGGTAAACTCAAATTTTCCCTTCCTTAGACCTCTTATGGCGCCAAAGGTGAAGAGGGTCGTTTCCAAAAAAAGGAAAGAGTCGTCTTCTTCGGGTGCTGCTGAGGCTACCACAGCTGAAGGTATCTTCTTGCTTCGACTTTCGCGTGAGTTGAGTAGGTATTCTTCCCTTGACTCCTCTCTATGTCGTTGTTGTGTTTTACAGATCGAGGGGAAACGCCGGCTGCAGAGGAGCATAAGGCTGAGCCTATCTTGATTTCAGATGACAAGTCTGAGGGTCCTGCGACCCCTGCCACCTCGGATCCCGCTCCCTAGCTGGGAGCCGAGCCCTGCTTTGAGATTCCGCCCATCATGGTGCTCGCTCCGGGCCAAGAGCATGTTCCCCCCGAGTCCTTGTCCTGGCAGGCTCACATCGAAGAGTTCGAGAGCGCTGTGAGACAGGCGATTTCCCTTGTCGAACTCGGCATGGGCAGTTTCGACAGCTTCAGGCAGTCCCTCTATGATCGTGTGGCTGATTTACGGCGATCGGGGGAAAATCAGCTTGCTCCCTTCTACGGGAAGGTCCGGAAGCCAATATGGAGTTTTGCCTGGCTCATGTCAGGCGTCAGGACGCCCTGGAGCAGGAGACCCGCTCTAAGGAAATAGCGGATTTGGAGTCTGTCACCAACTTCTGGGTCGGTCAACAACATTTGCTAGAGGAGCAAATCATTGACCTCAACCGCACCATGGCTCACCTGAGGGCCGAATTAGGACAGGCGGAGGCGAAGTGGAAGGGACTCCAGTCTGACGTTATAAAGGTCAGTAAGAATGTTGAGGCGGAAACTCGACGCCTACAAGCCTTGCCCCAGACGGATGCTGCCGCCAGGTCGAGCCGCGAAGACTGAATTCGGAAGGCTGCTGAAGGTAAAGCTCGGGAAGACCACGCGAGCCGGGTGGAGGCAGTCAAAGAACAGATCTCCACTTTTAGCGTATTCGACTGAGACCTTTGTTTTATGATTTGTGTTAAGACATTTTGTTTATGACTTGTTTGTTTATGAAGTCATAACTTTGTTCAAATGTATTGTCTTAAACACTGGGTGCACGTTTTGTTTCTTTGAACGTAACATTATGACTTTCGCAATTGCAAAAACCATAAGTTTGTTCAAATGTACTGTCTTAAAGTATCAATGAGGTTTGTGCACGCTCATTGTGAGTATACCCTTTGGATACGTCGCTTTCCAGTGTTTTGCTCTGTAGTTGCAGACGATCTCGTGTTGTGGGCGAAGTCCTTTGTGCGACGACGAGTCTACTTTTTGAAGCCAAACTCTGCTCCGATGAGTTTATGCTATCGGCGAAACCAGGGCGACAGCGAGTTCGCTAAGATGGTGAAACTCGTCTCCTGACGAATTCAAATCGCTGGTGAAACTTAATTGATTGACGAGTTTGTTTCCAGGCGAGACTTGATCGCGGCGAGGTTCGCTTGGAAGCTAATCTCAACTATTGGCGATTCCAAGTAGATGGCAAAGCTCATTTGCTGGCGAGTTTCGCTTGGCAACGGAACTCAATGGCTGGCGAGTTTATGCTGCGGGCGAAACCCGTATGATAATGGGCTTGTGTTGGAAACCCGACTCGATTTGTCCGGCGAGTTTGAACTGTAGGCGAAACTTGAGCAGTCAGCGAGTTTGTCCAACAGTCGGAGATCCAACTGCGAGCGAAACTCACGCCACGTGTCGGTCGGCGGGCCCAAGTGCTTGCCAGCCAAGACTCTGCAGGCGCATCAATGCTTATTTATGGTGAAGCGACCGGTCTCTTCGCCTCTCGTGCCCAATCCGATCTGTCGGTTTGGGGTCTCGAGAGTAGCCTTTAATGGCGTCGAGTT